TTAATGCCTCTTGTATAACTGCACCAATTTTAAATGAAAGTCCTGTCATGAAAAATGTAAGTCCATTCTTCATCTACACTGGCTTGCTGGATGTAGAGCAAAAAAGGTGTCCCTGGAAATATTTTGAAAATGTTGGCAACTATGCAAATGTGAGGCAACATATTATAGGTGCCCTGGCAATACCCTTTCTCTGCAATCTCCAGATGTTTATCAGAAGATGAAACACCTAATTTATACATTTGTGTTTGCCACAACTCTGTATATGCAAATTCAGATTAGAATGCATGGCACTGTTTTACATAAGGCTGTGAAATAATGACAGGAAGGTACTAAAGAAAATGACAGTGAAACTGGGTAACAAAAATAGAACAAAAGAAATGCTCAAGAGAAAAAAAAGAGGCTTTGGGTAAGTCTTGAGATGAAGCTATAAATTACACTCAGACATGCACATATTCATTCATTCATTAGTGCAGAAAACAAATGATTGAAATGTCAATTTAAGGCCCCGTTCACATGTAGCGAATTATCGCGCGATTTCCGCCGCGATATCGCGCATTTTTGCCACGCGATATCGCGAGAAGTCGCTGGCCAATGCTATTCAATGGAGCTGTCTTAACTCCATGTTGCGCGTCGCTCGTCGCGGTCGCAAGTCGCTTCTACCGGACCCTTTTTTCGGCGGATTTTGCGCGATTTTGCCTTTTTTCTATGGAGCCCGACGGAGAAGGTTGCGCTACCGTCGCTGGATCGTAGCTGGAACGTCGCCCCGAAAGTCGCGCTATCCCGGCCGTGCGGATCCGCTGCAAAAGGTATGTTGGTACGTGTGAATGGGGTCTAATGGTTTTGCTTCCAAGTAAAGACAGGCAAGTCTCTCAATACCCATAACCCATAATGATCTGGGCTGAAGTGGCCTACTGCCCTTCCAACTCTTTGGATGCTATATATTGTCCATTCATTTCAGCTGCTGTGGCCAGTTATTGATATTCCAGAAGTGCTCTATATTCGAATCTATGTTACAGAGGTTGGTTTAACAATAAATCTGCAAGATTGCAAAAGGAATCATTAATTTTGAGTGGAGATATAGGCTACACAAATGTTTGATTATTTTGCTGCTGAATATACTTTTATTAGGGACCTAGAGACTCTTTTATGAATTATGATATTGAGCAGCAGCTTTTGACTATAGCATTACAGCAGAGGGGAATTTGCATAGATTTTAAATGTTTTTACCATTGTGTTTTTTGGAAATAAAGATGATTTTTTTATATCCGGTATCCTTTCTCTTAGTTGTATATATGCTTATTATGAATAATTATAATATATGACAATAGTGTGTGTAGTAGACACTTAAAGAGGTTCTATATAAGGATAACATAAAAAAATACACATGCTCCTATAACTTTTAGCTAGCAAATGGTAAAAACAGGGAATTAAATAGGTCTGTAAATACCATTTAAGAATAAATTCCATCACTTGTATTACATTGCATTTGTAAGCAAATAGCACCATAAAAAGGAGGGCTTGTTTACCAGTGGCTTATGCAGGACATATTGCACATGCCCTGGGCGCCATTTAAAAAGGGAAGGCCGCTCCATGAGTCAGTGAAAGTTTATGCTTATGTTGCGGTTATGTTTTTCTTCTAATTTTTTAGTTAGTTTCTCCTGATTCTTCCCTCACTAACATATACCTGTCACTTCTCATCCATCCCCCCCCCACCTCCCCATTATTTGTATGCCAGCCCACCTCCTTCAGTGCCTTGAATCTCTCTTCATGTTGGCTGTGCTGCATGCCAAGGAGATGAGTCACCTCTGCCTGCATGTTGTAGGCAAACATTGTGCACAGCTCTCCCACAGTTCAGAGAATGTCACCATAGGACTTGCATGTATAGGGGTCTCTGGGGACATTGATATAAGGGGAGACTTCATAGTTACATAGTATTTGAGGTTGAATAAAGACATTAGTCCATCAAGTCCAACCTATTAGGATCTCATTCTAGGAGTACCCGTACCCCTGTATATTACGGTCCCTTAAGAAATCGTCCAAAAGTTTCTTGAACAATTCCACATTATTTGCTGAAATCACCGCCTGTGGCAGTGAGTTCCAGACCCTAAATTCGGAGACTCGAATGTAAGGGAGTCAACACAGAAGGAAAATAATGGGGCTTTTAGGGTACCAGGTGACAAAAAACAAGCAATTACAACATGATACAACCCTTGTTGTATCATGTTGTAATTGCTTGGTTTTTGTCACTTGGTACCCTAAAAGCCCCATTCTTCTCCTTCTGTGTTGATTTGATATACTAGGGGTGTGGTACCTTATATTCAGGAATTGGTCACGATAATTTGACTCTGATGTAAGGGAAAACTCTGGGGATTCTGACCCTTGGACTCTGATGTAAGATTTGGTGTCTGATGTATGTCTGATACAAGTCTGCATTTTTGAGTTGATATTATGTTAAAGTTATCTAAAATATGGGTGTCAGTTTTTGGAAAGGGGCTCAATTTCAGTGCTTGCAATAGGCGCTATTTTATATAGATATGCCCCTGGTGTTTACCATATTATGTTGAATAAATAAGTACAGATTTATTGATCTATGACTCAAAGTAGTATGTTATGTCCTAGTAGTGTGGTTAGACTATGATAGTGTTGGTTAAACCCACAAACTTTCTTCAACTAAATCTCATATTTGACCACCTTATACTAGCCAACGTAAGCCCCCATTTGCACCTGAACAATTTGTTGTTTTCAGATACGTGACAATGCTCAACATCACATTTTATTCAATGGTCTCTGTTCACACCTGAACATTTTGTTGCTTTTAGCTTGAAGAAATACATAAGCTTTTTTTTGGGCAGGATGGCAAGCTTTTGGTCCCATAAGCTTCAGTGGGAGCTCTTGCAAAAGGCTGAAAAATGTTTATTATAATGCATGTTTTTAACACCATGCCTAACAACTGTCCTCTCCTACTAACCAGCCTTCCATTTGCTAAAATAAAAACACTCAAGCCTAAAAAAACCCTGAAAAATGCTTTGAAATGACCGGAGAATGCTCACGCTCACGTGTGAATGGTGGCTAATCTTTCTTTTTTGTTTACCTTACAGCTAATCTTTACACAGGTTACGTGTAAAGTTCCCTTTTTACCAACTGAATTCACACCACTCTGGATGTTTGCTACAAGCTTTATCACTTCCTGTTATGCAGATATGCTATAGTTAAAGAACCAAGTATTAAACAGGTTGATAAAATATATTCTAGACTATAGAGGAAGCTTCCTAGTTCTTCTTCCCTAGCTCTTCACGTGAGGTTTTCTGCTTCAAGTTGTCATTTTGAAATTCTGGTCTCGGTAGCCTACGATTGGGTACTGATGTCACATCTGGTAAGTTCATTCATGTAATATAGATAGCTAGATATGTAAATACACACGTCTTTTTGAATGTATGTAAATACACTGCAGAGTTATTATTCCTGACAGGATGTGTGTATTGCTATATTAAGTGCATAAACTTGCCTAAGCATTTTCAAAATGCACCAAATAAAACAGTCAAAGGGTTTTTAAATGCTAAAATTATTTTCGAGTCCCATGGGAGAAAACCTTATATCAAATGTTTTTATCACTAATATTAAATGTTTCTGATTTTAAACTGTTTTATACTTTCATATAATGCCATTTGGATGTGGTCTGATTTCCAAGTTGGCATCTTTTTCTAAAATGTTATCTTCCCATAATGACTGACATAGAATAGAGGTTTTCTCTATGCCTAGGTAATGATGGCTTATTTAATGACCATTCAAAGGGCACTGACATGCAGTAGCCCTTAGCTACTAATCAAATTTCCGAGTTCATGAGTTTCTTCTTTCTTTGAAATAAATATTCATGTAATTTTTTTGGTATCTATCTTCATTTTGTACATTTACCAGTAGCTGCCTCATTTCCCACCCAAGGCTTATACTCGAGTCAATATTTTTCCCCAGTTCTTTGTGGTAAAATTAGGTACCTCGGCTTATATTCGGGTCGGCTTATACTCGAGTATATACGGTAGTTTAAGAAGAGTTGCTAACCATTAAGTTTTTATATGGACAGTTCGTAAAAATTAGCATGAGTTTTTAGTTTTCTGTCATCTGTATACTTTCGTGGATGGGAGAACGCATCCGTGAAGTCATCCCTCAACAGTCTGTATATTTATGGACAGTTCATAAAAATTAGCTCTCTGTGTCTGTTTCTCCTGTCCATCAATGTCTGTGGATGGGAGGAGTTGTCCATTAAATTGTCCCCCACTGTTATGTACTCTTTATAATGAGGGACTATGACGGAAACATAGATCCTACGTTTAGTGTTGTTTTAGCTGAGACTGTGCTCTTTTTTGGCTGAAAACTCCAGCATTGGTTAAGGTTAGTATACTAAAGAAAGGGCTAAAGTTGTGTTAGGGATTCAGACTTTTTCCCTTTATTTTCACTTGGTGATCCTGTGAAAAACACACTTCCTGTCCCAGTGGAAAGTGGCTACACTCACTTTCCACTGTATTCACACCCATGTAGTCACACAGGCTAGACTTCAAATATATCTGGCAATGTTCATTATATTTATTTAAATTTTTTGAGTTTAGATATGCTTTAATACAAGAAACCATTGAGACTAGTGAGTAGTCCCAGAGGGCAATTGTGCATGCCAGGCAGAACTTGCCCTTAAGGTTACTTGTTTCTTATGTTCAGCTTCACAAATCTAATATTGAAATAAAAATAAGATATCAGACTAATGACTATTCTTCATTCACTTCTGTTCATAAAACTGATTATAAAAATACATGTTCAATTTTATAACTGCAATACTTCCATCTAATATTTTTATTTTGTTTTCAGGACAAAATGTTAAGCCTGTTGAAGAACCTTTTGTGTGTTTTACTAATAAACCTTGGATTCTTTGGAATTTCCAATACAACTTCAACCAACCGAACTATACCATGTTCAATCACAGAGTATTCACATTCTGTTACTTTTGACTGCAGTGCTCGAAGTCTGAAAACAGTACCTTCACCTACCAACTACACATCAAACTCCGTTGAACTTCTATTAAGTCAAAACCTCATTGAGACTATTTATAAACCCTCTTTCCAGGTTTGGAAGAACCTTACAACAATAGACCTGAACTGGAACCACTATTCAAAGGTAAGACTTGATAACCAAAATATATGCAAAAGAGGTCTGGAGATCAATAATGAAACATTTGGCAATTTAACAAAACTAGAAAATCTTTTCATTGATCACAATTACTTATGTGAAATCCCCAGCGGACTGCCGGACAATATTAAAGTACTAAGTTTCCAGTATAACAACATTTTTTTGATTAATAAAACAAGTCTCTCAGGATTCAAACATCTGAAGGAACTATACCTAGGACATAACTGTTACTATGGAAATCCATGTCCAGGTGTTCTCAGTATTGAAAATGGAACATTTTCTGATCTCAAGGAGTTAACATTACTCAACCTGTCATTTAACAACTTAAGCAGCGTGCCTCTGCATCTGCCTTCATCACTAACACATCTCTACTTAAGCAATAATATAATAAAAGTTATTCACAGGGACGATTTCAAAAACCTAGTCAATTTGGAAGTTCTTTTCCTAAGTGCAAATTGCCCAAGATGTTTTAATGCTGCATATCCGTGTAAACCTTGCACTGGGAAAGGCTATCTTGAAATAGATGATTTTGCTTTCCAATTCTTAAAAAATCTGACCGTGCTCCATCTTGATAGTACTTCACTTTATACTATATCAAAAACATGGTTTCAAAACACGACTCAGTTGAAAGTACTAAATCTTAGACTAAACTACTTAGTGACTGAAATGGCAACAGGAGACTTTTTTTCTTACTTACAGTCCTTAGAAATACTTGACTTGTCATATAACTACAATGTGCAGTCATATCCAAATAATATTAATATTTCTGACAATTTTTCTAAATTGGTATCCCTCAAACAGCTACATATACAAGGCTATGTTTTTAAAGCCATCACATCTAAAAATGTAGCTCCTCTTACAAAGCTAAACAAATTAAATATTATAAACCTTTCCGTTAATTTTGTTTTCAAGGTTGACTTTAAAGTGTTTAAAAAAATTCCAAACCTGGAGATAATTTATTTGTCTGAAAATAGAATAACACCATTTTCAGAGAGCACTAACAAAAGCCAGGGACTACCAGCATGTTACAACAATCAGTCAACTGAATTACAGTCTGATTTCACATACAATGGTGAAGAACATATTAGCAGAGTATCCCCAGGATTTATTACTCCAATTAACCATCTGGTAAAACCTCACTGTATTGCACGTGGGAAAACATTGGACCTAAGTTTGAATAGTATTTTTTTTATTGAACCACAACAATTCCTTCCTTTTTCTGATATAGCATGTTTAAATTTGTCTTCAAATGGCATAGGTCAAGATTTAAATGGGACAGAATTTATCCACATGCCAAATCTAACATACTTGGATTTATCTTATAATAAACTGGATTTTGCTTCCATCAATGCCTTTCAGGAACTGAAAAAGTTGGAAGTGTTAGATGTGAGTTATAACCAGCACTATTTCATTGTGCAAAGTGTAGTTCATCACCTTAAATTCATTGAAAATCTGCCCAAACTTTCCACTCTCAACTTAAGCTGGAATGAAATCTCCACTCTAACTGAGCCCCAGGTTAATAGCTTTTCCCTGAATGAATTAAGGTTTTCTGGAAATCGTCTGGATGTATTATGGAAAAACGGTGACAAACGCTACCTAAATATTTTCCTTAACTTTACAAATCTGTCAATTCTTGATATTTCTTACAACAGACTTCATTCCATACCCGAAGAAGCAGTGTACCGCCTGCCTGCAAGTCTTACCGAGTTGTATTTGCATCATAATGAGCTTGTGTTTTTTGGTTGGAAAAACTTGACACACTTTAATAACCTCAAGGTTCTTGACCTTAGTCACAACAAGATTACAATGATAATAGCACATTTGAGCAATTATACAAAATCACTGGAGACTCTTATCATCAATAAAAATTACATTCAAACTTTGGCAGATGCATTTCTCATCAATCTACATAGCCTCGTCAACCTTGATTTAAGTTTTAATCATATTCAACAAATAAGTAAATCTGTTTTTTTGTCTGGAGATGGTAACTATTTGAAAGTTTTAAAACTGAAAGGAAACCCCTTTGATTGTACTTGTGAAATTGTTGACTTCCTAAACTGGATCAATAGGAACAATGTCAATATTCCACGGCTGGCCACAGATGTCACCTGTGCCACTCCAGATAAATGGAAAAAGCATGGAATTATCACTTTTGACATGCACGCCTGTAATGTGGATTTCATAGCATTGCTGCTGTTTCTTGTGTCTTTTGTCCTAATCATTCCATTGACTGTTTTGCCAGTGATGAGTAATTTATTTTACTGGGATATATGGTATATATACCACTGGTGTATGGCAAGGCTAAAGTATAGCAAAGTCGCTAGTTCAGAAAGTATATATGATGTATTTATCACATATGATGAGAAGGATCAAGCTGTCAGTGACTGGGTCTTTAATGAACTATGTCACCAGCTGGAGAACAAAGTAGGCAAACACATACTTCTCTGCTTAGAGGAGAGAGACTGGGAGCCAGGAAAGGCTGTTATTGATAACATTGCAGAAAGTATTAACCAAAGCCAAAAAACACTGTTTGTTCTCACTAAAAACTACGTGAAAAGTGGAAAATTCAGGACTGCATTTTATTTAGCTATGCAAAAACTAATGGATGAAAATCAAGACGTAATAATCATAGTTTTACTACAGCCTGTTTTACAGCATTCCCAGTATCTCAGGCTGAGGAAGAAAATTTGCAAAAGTTCTATTCTGGAATGGCCCAAAAATCCCCATGCAAAAAGCTTATTCTGGCAAAAAATACAAAATGTGCTACTGACAGACAACATCAGTCGATACAATAGTCTCTACACTGATTCCATTGCTGTTGAGCGCTGATTGCCTGTTGCTTAATGGTGGAAATATGGTATTAATTACAGTTTGATGGTATGTAATAAAAGCATAATCCACCTTTAAAAAAAATAAAAATAAATGCAGACATATTTATGAAAGAAAAACATTAGCATTTTGTTATTTTTTGCATTGGAGTCAGTAAAGCATTGCAACCTTAATCAGTGGATCTTGGATGTAATGCTCTGGTTCCTGCATACCCTTCCTCCAGTCCCTGTCTGTACTGCGGTACAGCCTTTCACTTACACGGACCGGAGGAAATATGAATGGATTTTAAGTGCGGTGATTTCACCGCACTTGTTTTCTATTGAGAACTACAAGTCACTCTGCTGCACAGGTAGACAGGACTTGTCGTTTCTCTATTCACAGACCCTGTTAACCCCTTCATGACTGAGGCCCTTTTTTCAATTTTTGCACCCATGTTATATTCATGAATGGATGACATGGCTGTGCAGGAGATGCCATGCACGGATGTGCCAGATTCAAAAGCTTTCATGCAACTGACATTAGTTTTCCATGCTTTGCAAATGTAGCGCCAATATATTTATATAGCGCCAATAGTTTGCACAGCACTTTACAATATAAGGAAGACATTACAATCACAATACAATTCAAGGCAAGATGGTAAGGAGGGCCCTGCCCGTGAGGGCTTACAATCTAAAAGGGAGGGGCAAGTGATAGGAGGTAGCTGTGCGGGGATGATTGTTTGAGAAAGTGATTGTTCAGTGGTTAGGTTGAGGTGGGATACTGAGACCTGGCCCTGGCAACAGACCATATGCTTCTGGCATAGCTTCTATATATTTAAAAAATGCCAATCTACTCAATCTACAATCTAATCTACTCACACCTCCCCAAATCCTAAGCACAAAATATGGAAACACACAAGCCTTATATTTAACTACAAGTAATTTTCTTGCACTTCAGTAATCTGGAAAATATATAATACTGTTCTGTTATTGCTGGGAACTAAATAACATGCATTGTATGCATTAGTGTATTTTTGAAAAAGATTTTAATGTGCAAATAAAATTGCTGAAATATCTTACAATTATTATGTTACATGTGAATAAACTAGAGGGGGAGGAATTGTCATAACAAGGAATGGTTCTAAAAAGAAACTCTAAACAGCTAAAACAGGCTGGCGCAGCAGCCGGAGTGTAAACAAATATACACAAACATTAATCATTGGCATCAGAATAATAAAACTGGTTTTTGCAATCATAAGGCGGAAGCAATCTATTGGGATGACCTTGAAATGAGTTAATGGGTTAAATCTCCCATGACCCACCATTATCCACCGAAAAAACGATCAATGTGGCCCAACATGCTACCAAGTGAAATGGCCTTGTAAAATATCTTGAAGGTGAAACATTCAAAAAGACAATTATTGTTTAGGGGGAACCCAAGGGGCAAAAAGCAAGAGGCGACTCATTAGGGTGGGCTTCAGGGAAGGGGGGAAGGTGGAGGGGGTAGGGTCAGAGTAAAAAGAAAAGAAAGGGAAAAGAGAGAGGTAGAAATTATAGGGAACAGAAAGAAAGAAAAAAGCACGCCAGAAGGGGAAAGATTTGAGAGAAGTCAGAAAGCTAGAGCCAGGGAGAACAGGTCAAGGCGGGCCCACTCAGAGTGTAGAGTGAATGGGTTAGGAAGACTCCAGAGTATCCTCTAAGCACTGAGGGCTACCACTGGAAATCCAGTGCCTCCAAATTTTCAAAAATGTATTGTTAGAGTCAGCTAGGATCCCAGTCAGTTTTTTACTAATCATATTTTTCACTTCTTGGGGTGAAGGTAGGAAAGAAGGAAAAAGGGAGGGAAGGAAGGAAAGAAATAGGAGATTAGGAGGAAAGATAGGCAAGGCTATAAAAGAAAGAAGGAAGGTTTTCCCAGGCTGCAAGAGAAGCTGCGGTGGCCAAAACTCACAATGGTGGCAGTAAGGAGTATTCAGTCTTTTCCAAAGTACATAGTTATGGAGGGCACCATGAGGGTAAAACATTAGGGTAGCGACCCTTTTGATGGACTTGCCAAAAGAAATTACTAGCGGTGAATTGAATACAACATATAATCCTAGTACAGGCACTATATCAACAAAACAAATGACAGTGTACCTTTTGTTGAAGCGGCAAGTATGAGTATATCCCCAGTAAAAAAAGGAACAAAAGAAAAAAGAAAAAAAGAACAGTCTTGGATGTGTATTAGAAAGATAAACATATTTAACAGAACTTAAACCAGGATTAGTAGTGTGTGTGAGCCAAGGCTTTATTGCAAGAGTAAAACAGGTAATGAGCCAGGTGCAAGTTAACCCATTCTGAGCGGGAACTAGCCTGGCATCTTGTAGCCTCCCATCTAATCAAGACAAGATGAAAAATTATAGAAGGTTGGGTTGTCCAGTTGACCATTAGGTATGTCACCTTGCAGAGCCATCACAGTAATAGTCCACAAATCATGAGGAGAACAAACAACATTACATAGATGATACTTATTGTAAACCCTGGGATCTCAGCCTCTGGAGATAATGAGAGCACTTGGAAGGAGATGGCAGGCCTCTACGTTCCACTGAGGGTCTTCGTGGTTCGTTGCTTGGAGCTGACGATTCTTCAATGTGAAGAAAAGCTTGAAGGGAAATCCCCAACAGTAGCTGTAGAAAGGTGATCTGAGTCATCCAGCGTCACCCGCATGCTTTCCTCCTCAGGCAGGGCAGATGCCATCTTGGGCCTAGGTGTCAGTGTTTTTGGATCTGAGTGGGGACACTGTTTAGATTTTGCAGATGGGCTCATGATTCAAAAAGGCTATGTAGGGGTACTGCAGCATAGAGCATCATGGTGGGTATGGTATCCAGTGCTAACAAGGTGTCCATGGGAAGAGAGGTAGCCCAGGTGGTGTGGATCTAAGCTACCACATGTCCATGCTCTGTTGCCGCAGGCATGCACCACTTTTTATATTATTTTCAATAAAATGTAAAATGTAATATTCTTATTTCTCACATATTGCAAATTATGGTCAAAGAATTGAGATACATTGCTTATGACAACAACACATTTATGCCTGGCAAGTTTGTAGCATTACACTGTAGCCTGTAGCATTACATTGAATAGGCAGTTCAGGACAAAGCAAATCTAATTTAGATTTGCCTTAAACATACCCATGTTCAAAAGTTCCTGGGAAATTATGCACTATAAAATTAAATAAATATTCAAAATAAAAAGCCCCCAAATGTTTAGCAAACAGTTTAAATCTTTAGTTATTCACCAATTTTTTACTATAAAATATTTGGAGCAGATATGCAATTAGATGAGAAAAGGCAATGGAATTGACCACACACACAAAATGCAGTGATCACTTGGGCATGAAGCTGCACCGAAATAAAGACTTTAACAACAGTGAAATTAGGGAAAAAAACTAATGCTGCCACATCTAAGGACTGGTAAGATTCATATATTACATTTTTGTTCTTGGACTTACATACACTTAACATACCCCTAGCGAATGGAACTGCCCAGGAGGGCATTCATTTACAGTTCTGCTGTCACAAATGGGTTAATCTAAATTGTCAACAATCAGGAAACAATAGGTTGCATTCAGCTTCATAGTAAATGTAAATACATTGGCAAATATGCAGGTTTTATACAAATAAAGACAGTTTACATGCATTTGTTAATGAATGCACTGGTATCAGGGGCGTATTTACCGCAAAGCAAACTAGGCGTTTGCCTAGGGCGGCACCCTCCGTGGGGGCAGCACCCTCCGGTGGTGCCGCCGTACGCAAACGCTAGTGCTGCAGTTCAGAGAAGGGGAGAGAACCGGAGGCCATCTTAGCGGCGGGAATGCGGATGGCGGCTTGCGGGGACACGGACGGCGGCTTGCGGTGGTGTCCAGATACCGGGTGGCGGTGGAGTGACGGCTTCGGTGAGTCCACTGAGTGTTTGTCCGGGGGGAGGGGGTGGATGGTGAGGGCGAGGGGGGTGTGCTGACGGTGAGTCGGCCAGTCGGCGAAATGTCAGTTCGGGGGGGTGGCGTTGCTGTCTTGCCTATCAGAAATTGTAAATACACTGCTGACTGGTATTGGTATTGGAGCAGATACTGCGTATTTGGGCGAGTACGAGTACTCTGCCAAATGCTCCAATACTTAACCCGACACCGGAACTTCTGGTCAGAGGAAGATTCCCTCTGACCAGCAGTGCCGCGAAGGAGCATGGAGCCGGCTTCCCGGCCAATCAGAAAGCTGGGCGGCGGGTCATGACCTGATTGGCTAGGAAGCCAGATTCACTTATTGCTAGGCAGCCTGGGTTCCTGACCAATCACGTTATGACCTGCCACCTGTCTTCCCGATTGGTCAGCAAGCCAGGCTGCCTAGCAACAAGTGAAGCCAGCTTTCTAACCAATAAGGAAGCTGGGAGAAGGGTCATGACGTGAAACCCGGCTTCCTAATTGGTCAGGAAGCCAGGCTGCCTTGGAACATGAAGCTGGTGTTCTTTCGATAGAACACCGGCTTCCTGATAATCCAGCCCCATGGTACCCTGGGATGCTGGTATCGGTATTCGGTATCGCCGAGTACTGAAAAACAAAATATCGGTACTCGTACCCAATACCAAAAAAACGGTATTGATGTGTCCCTAGTTAATGACATTACTAAATCTTTAATACAAAACATTTATCTTCATAGTAGGCATGCTGGAGAGAGACCTTTCCTCGTGGTGGTGTAATTACTTTGTTTTTAAAACTTTACATCCAAAAATAATTTTAAGGTGAAAATCACAGAGCAAATTAATGGTGTAAACCAACCCCCCAGGCTGTATAGTGTCACTTCTCAGTGTCACCACATATATTTTTTTAGATTTAATAACTCTTTAAATGGTGACTACAGTTAATAAGCAAGGAGCTAAAAAAACCTCAACAGTTGGTATTCTTACTGTAAGCCTGCCCTACTGGGAAGGCTTGTGGTTGTTTAGCAGTCCTGTGAAAAGTTGTAGATGTCCTGGGCCTAGCCACAGAGAATAAACTGGTGCATG